GCAAGTACTTATATGGCTTGCAAAACTTCAGGAACTATCCAGAGTCAGGGCTCCAGGATACTCTGCTCTAGTCACTGAACAGAGAATATAATCTTTATCTAAGAGACTGCTCTTCTTTAAGAAATCTAATTATACAAAGTGATATTTAGAGGTGATCATATTAAAAATGTGTTTTCTCTGTTCTCTTCTAAGTATTTGGATCCTCATACTCCACTTTTTCCGTGGACTTTCAAGCAACCTTTGCTCACAGACACCTACTTATGCTTTTTCCTCTCCTCAGCAAGTGCTACCATATGTGTATCATGCCATCTAAATTAGAGCTGCTGAGTTACACTTTGATATTATGCCTTTTCCTTATGACTGATGAAAAGCTCCTGAAGAGGTGAGAGCTTAACCCAAACAAATCAATCTTTAATGACAGAACTTTAGTTAATGTGGCACCAAGAGTAAAACAGATATTTAAGTCAAAGGTCCTGCCAAGAACCCTTCAAATTTCACCACAGAGTTAACTCCTATTCTGCTGGGAAGTAAGGCTTGCTATTCTTTGCACATGCTGCCTGTTAACTAGTAAGGGATGTTCTCAATCCCGTGCCCCAAAGTGACATTCTCCTTCTTTATACATAAGCTCAAGACAACCTGAGTCTGTTTTGTATTTAAAGGAGAAAAGGACTTCTTGACTGGATGAGCAAAGAAAGATCCACACTTGGAGGAACTAGAGGCTTTTTCACTCTAAGCTGAGACATGTAAACATGGAAATATGGAAAATGTAGTTAAATTACAAAATGAATTTTGATGATTCAAGTTGAATGGAATTAAGTATAAAAATGTACCTCAAACGTTGTGCATGTTCGAATCACCTGGGGACCTCTTTCAAAATGCCAATGCTCGTACTCCATTCTAGGCCAATTAAATAAGCATGCCTGGGATCTGGATATTGGGTTTGTTTGTTTGTTTTCCATTTCAATCTTCCAGGAGATTCTATCATACAGCCAAGGCTGAGACCACTGGAGCAGAGGGGAGGAATCAGAGGGACTGAAAATGAGCCCTGAAGGCTTGGCCAGATTCTGATACCTGGAGAGGAGTAAAAACGGCAGCCTTGCAAGAGACTGGTGTGAGAACAAATAGACTGGACAATGGCCCCAGTTTGGGCTGTCAAGAGATGGCCTGACCTGAGCCAGTGCCTCCTGTTGAGAAGGTAGAAGGTAGGTCTGCGTTGGGTGTACAGGAATTCTTCCACCACAAATATACTTACTCTACATTCTGATTTATTTCCTGAAGTTTTCCTTGGATAACTTTTTGGGAATAATGAATGTTTTGGTTCCAGTGAGTTTCAAGGTCCCTCTTTTGGTGTATCTAGAAATAACAGAAACAAGGGATTCAGAATTAAAGATAAAAGACAAGGTTTTGGCCAAGAAGTTTTTTTTCTCATGAGTTTCTGCTAAAGGAGAGACGGCGCTGAGAGAATTAAATGAGGTATTGAACGTGGGGTCACAATTCAGGGCCTCCAGAGGCCAGAAGGGTAGCACAAAGGGTGGTAAAACTGTTGGGAATGGGAGGGCCTATGAGGCTCCCCTCACACAGGCCCTTACCTCAGGAGCTTTGCTGGCCAAAGTAGTGGTTTCCAGGGAGAACCCTGTGAGGAAGCGATAGGAAGTGAAAATTAATTGTATGTTTCTTTCTTTCTTTTTTCTTTCTTTCTTCCTCCCCACCATGTTCTCTTCCTCCCTCCTGCCTCTCTTTTCTTCCTCACCTTTCTTTCTTTCTTCAAGCCTTTCTTTTTTTTTTTTTTCCTACTTTAGGATATCTAGATCATAATTGATATTCTTTTTGTTGTTCCATCTATATTATTTAAAAGAATACAAAATATTTGTAAGGACTTCTGTAGTTTCACTTACAATGTTTTGAAGTGAATTTCAAAATATAATTTCACTATAGGATGGGAAATTCCCCAACCTTGAATTCTACCAAAATGAAGTTTCCAGAAACTTAAATCAAGCAGTTAGAAAGAGACACTTATATAGTTAGAAGCCATTCCAGGTAGTGTTTGACAAAACCTAAGAGTAGTTAAGGCTAATAGCCATCCTAATTCTTCTCCTTGCCAAGTTGAAAGACTCTGCTACGTAAGCATAAAAGCATAGCTCAGCTGAGGGTTCAGCCTTTTACTTGGGAGTTGATCTGTTAGACTCTGGTCTAATGTTGTTGGGAATAGAAAGAGAGAAAATTGAATTTACCAAAATTTGTCTTATGATGCATATTCTTTATAGTTAAAAGGAATAATGTTATAGGTGGATGGTGAGGCTGTGGAGAGCATAACTGAATAACAACAGATGGTCACTAGATTACCTTCTAAAGAAGCTGGTGGTAGTTAAAACAGGGATTTATTTTACGGAGTGAGTTTTCAAACTAGACTACTGTCCGCAGAATTCTTTTCTCTTTTCATTCCCTTCATAGCTCTTTGTTTCTTGTCTATATAAACATGGAGAAGATATTTTTAAAAAATGAGTTTAGAAATGTGCCAAATGTTAGTCTACCTGGGTTGGCCATGTTAGCGTCTCCATCTCAGCCTTGACGCTTTCCTTCTTGAAAATGTTGGTTGCCCCTGAACGCTCCTTTAGCCCCTTCTCAATATTTTGCCTTTTGTACCAATTATGTTGGACAGATTCTAAGATGGGCTCCACCCTCCATGCCTCCTGCCTCCTCATGTTCATGCTCTTGTATAATTCCCTTCCCTTGAGGGTGGGTGGGACCTGTGACTTATTTTAACCAATAGAATATGGCAAAAGTAAAAGATATCACCCCTGTGATTACACTGTTATTTAAGACTGACTTGGTAGCAGACCTGCTCTAAAGACTCACCTTCTAACATGAAGTTAGAATCCATTTGAGAAAGTCCACATGGCAGGGAACTGAAGGCAACTTCTGGGAACTGAGGGCAGCCTCCAGCCTCCAACCAGTAAGAAGACAGGGCCATCAGTGCTACAACCACAAGGAGGAGAATTCTGTCAACAATTGGAGTAAGTTTGGAAGTGGATGATTTCCTAGTCAAGCTGTCAGATGAGAGCTCAACCCAGTTGACATGTTGATTGCAGCCATGTGAGACCTTAAGCAAAGGTCTCAGTTAAGAGGTGCCCAAACTCTTGACCCACTAAAACCGTGAGATGATAAATATGTGTGTTGTTTTAAGCTCCTAAATTTGTGGTAATTCATTACACAGCAACAGAAAAATATTACACCTTTCCAGAAGTACAAATCAAAATGATGCTAATGATGAGTCAAGCAGGGACCAGGTGTAAGTGGTAACACTCCATCTTATCCATAGTGTTTGTTCCGTCACTGGGGCTTCTGTCTTCAGTAATTCATTTACAAAAGGTTTGGTGCGTGGAGTTATCACTTTGACTCTCAAGAGCCCTTAATGCTGAAAAATAAGTGGGAATCAAGCAATTTGAGGACACTTTGAAAGATTAAACATAGTTTATTTCATTAAAGAAAAACAGATCAGTGGAATTCACCAATTGTTCACCGGCATGAGAGAGATTAGTTTTACCTTCTGGATGTTGGTTTGTAATTGTAGTCACTATAATCAATACGAGAGGGAATGAAAACTCCAATGTTCGAGTCAGATCAGTTCCTGTATTTTGAAGGCAATTTTAGGATAGATTGATCACCTGAAAAAAGCAACTGCAAAATGCCAGGCAGTCAACTCAAAACAGTGTGTGTGTGTGTTCCCATATAAATTCTATTACTTTTTAAATAAAGGGTCAAGACAGTCCTTGTATATGCACACGTTTTTAAAATGATGACACTGAGTCCAGCTGCATGAATTCCTTTGTAGGAAGTAAATGACAGTCCTGGATGACAAATGAAATTGTATAATACAAATCAAATTTGGGGTGTGGAAAAGAGAGTGTTTGGGAAACTCTCCAAATGCAAGATGGAATAATCTCTTCAACCAGTATTCTTTGTGTAGAGCACTTCAGGAACATTAACTTTTCTTCAATTACTATTTTATAGGACAGTGCAGAGTTGAACATAATTTTAGCTAAGGAAAACTGGAGACACTGCAATAATATTTACATAGTTAACAATAATAACTTATGTTTGTGTATAGTTTTATAAGAGTCTTCATGTTAATGATCTCATTAAATGTAAGGCTGAGATATTACTTTCTCCATTTGACATTTGAAGAGAGAGAGAGAAAGAAAGAGAAAGAGGGAGAGGGAGAGAGAGAGAATGAGGGGGAGAACAAAGCCAAGATGAGAGTGAAGATTTTTCACTTTCTTCCCTAAAGACTTACTATCACCCTTCCCCATTTTATTAACACCTATGTATTGTGGAGACAGAAAATTTGCCCATCTACCATCCATACAGGAACACCAAGGAGAAGGAGAAGATTCATCAGCTTTTGTGGAGAAAGTCCTGATTCTTTAAATCAATCCTCCTTGTGTAAGTGTAAGCAAAAAGTTTTGAGTCTTTGAGGACTAGAATTGATTCTTTGAGGAAGAAATTGGGGCCCACAGAGGTTGTGTGTCTTGTCCAATAAGAGTAAGAGTTGGCCTGTAGTAGAAGCTACCTACCATTCCTTGAGGTCTTACTCTGTTCCAACCACTTCACACACATCATCTTTAATGCTTCCAAGAAGCTTTATGCGTATGAGGAAACTGAAGCTCACAGAGTTTAAGGTACTTGCTCATAGTTGCACAGTTAATAAATGGAATACAAGGGATTTGAAGCCAGGTCTCTTTAATTCTGAAGCCCATGCTCCTTCCATTAATCTAGGCCACTTCTTGAGAATCCAGTTCTCTTTCTTCCCAGCTATAGCAACTTTCTATAGTCTGAGCCCAGAGTTCTAGGTCAAAGATAAAGTCAAAATTAGTCTTTATCTTATGAGGATTTGTCTAGAGATAGTTTTTCTTTGACAAATAGCTAGAGCTTGAGCTTGTGAAAAGTTAGAACAGCTGCTCCCTTGCAGAGAGTCCTTGTGTGTGTGTGCTTGTGTGTGTGTGCACATACATGTCATCACAAGGTCCTGCTGTAATAGGTGCTCTCTCTGATATGTTTTGACTTTCATTTTTTGCTTTTATTTGAAGTGTAGGTTTTCATTGTCTCTTTATGCAGAGTTTCATCAGCATGAATTGAAGATGCTTGTTGGAAAGGCCACAGTTACTGGGCCAGCATGAGTGATTTCAATCCTGGCTAGATTGTGCTTCCTTAGGGTGATGCCTGCCGTCATGTCTGGCATCATGGAGTCCAAGCCTCCTTGCTGTTTCCCCTCAAGAAAGGCAGTGGAAGTTCACAGGCACCAAAGGACCTTTTCAAAGACACAAGACTTTGGGTGGAGCCAGGGGTACAATGTGGCACAGTGTGTATTCACACAACAAATGGAGGGCTTTTCTTGAGATTTCAAGAACAGAAGGTGCAGACAGACACAATAGTCTCTCAGCCACGCTTTAATGAGCCAAGGCCCTTGGCTGGCTTGATGCTCAGTAACAGGACGTCTGTGCAGTGAGAATACAAGCAAAGGATGCTCAGGCTGTGCTTGGCCAGGTGTCTCCAAAGGCAGAGAAACATGACTCATGACACTTGAGCTAAGTTGACACTGCTGCCATCACCCTGGGAAAGCAATTTGTGGGCAGAGATCTAGGCTGTTTATAAAAATGACATGAGCAGCAGCTCCAACCTCAGGAGGCTTCGTAGGGAAAGATAAAGAGGAGGATTACAGAAGCTAAAGCTTTTGTTTAAAGAGAGATTACAAAGCATTTAGTTTGGATCAAGTCAGCCTAAAGCTTACTTGCTAAAATGTGCCCCTTTGCTCGGCTCTGCGATGAATTTTGCTCTTAAACTTCGTGCTCAGATGGAAAGACGAAGATGAGGCTTTATTTGGAATGATCACAGATGAGGCTGTTTTTCTCTCTCTCTTCTATTAATATGAATTCAGGAAACATGAGGATTAGAAGAGATTCTAATCAATTGCCCAACATTAGTTTTTCTAGTAACAAGGGCAAATGTGCTTTCTAAGTACTTGAATGTGAAAAGGAAATCACGCAGCAGAAATGGATACAAGGTCAACACCTACAGAGATTTTCATGAAGTTATGGTTTCTGTGTTGGAAATTGTCTAAAATATAGACTGCCCATGTTGGGAGAGTAAAAAAATAGGTTTAAAAACATTCCTTCTATTTCCACCTTCTGAGACTGAATTGGATTGACTGCATGGCTGATCCAGTGACTGCAAAAACCTACATATTTAGGTAACTTTAAAAACGAATTGACCAAAACTCAGCCAATATGTCAACTTTTTGTAGATTTGGCCTTTGTTCAGCTGGGGATCATTCCTGGTCTTCTGTGTGTCAGGGAGATTTTTCTGCTTCAACGAATCTTTCCTTTTCTTTTGAAATTAAAATCTGAAGAAAAATGATAGAATTCCAAAGGGATCATATTCCAAATTAGATGTATCTGATTTATTAATTAATTCATTAATACAGTAGCGATTCATGGAGCAGCTACTAGATGCCTGGCTCTATTCTGAGCGTTGGAAATCCAGTGATGAGTAAGACAAATTCTCTGTGCTCAAGTTACAGGAGGAGAGACAGAAACTAAGTAGTTAAACGGAGAAGTATATACGAGAATATAATTTCAGATCATGGTAAGTGTTACCAAGAAATTAAAAAGGAGAGAGTGTAGGAAATGGAAAGGCTATTTTGGAATGGATGTCTTGGTGGGCTTTTCAGAGGAGGTAATATTTGAGCAGAGATTTGAAGACATGTAGGAACGAGCTGTGTGAATATCTGACAAAACAGTGTTTGATAGGGAGGATATAGCAGGTGTAAAGGTCTTGAAGCAGAAACTACCTTACAGTGTTGTAAAAACCTCAGGGAGGCCAGTGCGGCTGAAGCAGAGAAGGTGAGGAGGAGCAAAGCGGAGGTAAGCCTCGAGAGCAGCAGAGGCCTAGTTATGTAGGTCAGGGGAGCCCATGGTAAGCAGGTGGGCTGTTGTTCCAAATGTGATGAAAAGCAGTGGAAGAGGGTTGCAGGGGAAGCTACATAGTCTGATGTCTGGTTTTAAAGAGCTCTCCGGTGATTGTGTAGAGAAGAAACTGGTGCAGCAGGAATAGACGCAAGGAGGCCAATTGTGAGTCAATTTCTCAAGTCTGTGAAGGAGATGGTATCTCAGAGGAGTGTGATGTTTGAAGAATTGAACAGAAGTAATGGGACTTAGATGTGTTTTGAGAGTAAACCCGACAGAGCTTTCTGATGGATTAGATGTGGAGGAAGTTGAGGTGGGAGAAAGATTTGAAATAATGGAAAGAATGGAGCCATCTGGCATTGTGCAGTGCACAGTCTTCATCTGTGTACAGGCCCTGGTCAAGCTTTAGAAAGTGAGTGAATGTTGGTGGCTGCAATGAAGAAGAGAGTGAAGGAGCAGACTTTTTGTCAGGGTAAGGTGGGAATAAAGATTTTTGATTTGAACATGTTATATTTTATTTTCCTCTAAACTACTACTATTACTACCCAGTCTGGAGTCAGGGAGAGGTGTGGATGGGAATACAAATTGGTCATCATCAGCCTGTAAGTGAACTATGAGGTAATGGTATTGGAAGACCAGTAGAGGAGAGAGAACAGGGCCAAGGACCAAGAATGGGGGCCAAGACAATATCCAGGAAAAGGCGGAGGAAAAGAAACTGGCCAGTATGAACCCTGAAGAGAAGCCATTGTGCAATAAATGACTTTCATGGAGAGTAAAGTAAAGAGAGTATTTCAGCTCTCCCTGGGTGTTTGAGTAATATGAGGACATTGAACTGACCCATGGAGTTAGTGAGATGAAGTTGTTGGTGGCATCAATAAAGAGTGATTAGTGAGGAAAAAAGCCTGATTATAGAGTTAAGAAAATGGAAGGTAAAGAAGTGGAGACTGAATGTAGATAATACATTCAATGATTTTTCTCCAAAGTTAGTAGAATAAATTGACAATAACTGGAAGGGGATGTAGGACCAAGAGATTTTTTTTTTTTTTTTTTACAGTGTTTTTATGCTTTATTAGTCAGGATAGTAACAAATAGGCCCTGAATCCCAGTGGTTTACTACAACAAAGGTTTATTTCTCACTCATGCTACATGTTCAAGGAAGGCCAGCTGGAGGCTCTGCTACCCATCGTTTCTCAGGGTCGCAGTCTGACTGAGGCTCCCTTGTCTTATATCTACATGATCTCAATATGCAAACGCCTCAATCGCTCTAGCAGAAGAAAAAGACTAGAAAAGAGTGAACAGGATTTTCACTATCTTAGCCTGAATTGATGCACATTTAATGGCCAGAAGTAATCACATGACCTGCCTAACAGCAAAGGAGGTGGGAAATGGAGGAGAGCAAATGAAATCTTCAGTGACCATCACTGTCTCTGCCCCATAAGCCAATAGAGAGAGTAAATTAGATGGTCAGGCCGATTTCCTGAGCAGGCCAGAGGGGGCGGCAGTCAGTGCCACTTTGGAGAGACTAGTTTTAGCAGCCCTATCTGAGTGAGAATGTTTTACCCAGTATATCAGGAAAGAAACTTGGGTATGTGGATACTGATTCATGGAGGCTGGGAGATTTGGTGATGGAGAGATAAGGGCATTGTCTTCTGAATAGTTTATTTTCTCAAGAAAATAAAACTAAGGGCATCAATTAAGAATGAAGAAAAGAGAGTGATTTCTGTAGATTTTGAAAGTGTGTCTGTAAATAATGGTCTCTAACAATGGGAAAACAAGTTTACTAGGAAAATGAGAGCATATGGCAGAGGCAGCGTAGTGTACTGTTTACTCTGTGCAGATCCTGAAGTCAGACTGTCTGGAATCTAATCTTGGCTGTATCACTTATGACTATGACCTTAACAGCTAAGCACCTCAGTTTTCCTGGTCTGTAACATTGGAATAATAATAGTACTTACATCCTAGGACTGTTGGGGGATTAAAACTGAGCCTGGCACTGTGAACTGTCAGCTGTTATTGTGAGGATAGCCTGACAGTGGGACACCTTCAGGTTTATGGTCCTAAAAATGAAATGATGCCAGTTAGTAGGGCTATGTGTTTTTTGTCTATCCCTGTTCAACTGCTCAGTTGCTAGGAGGCAGATGTGGAGTAGGCAGAGAATGAGATTTACCCAGGGTTAGACTCGATGTGTAGCACAGAGTTTGTTTCATCCAATGCCCTATTGCCAGGTAGTCATGTTCCTCCAAGTGTGAAGATGTCTGCTTCCACATAATTTTATTTCTTGTCTGAAATCCTAAGTATGTTTCTATTTCTCTGACCTGTGTCAGATTTGACAAGGTCAAACTTCTCAGGGACCCTTGAAAATATTTAGAAGGTTAGAATTCCCTTTCTGATTAAATTAATCCTCTTCTCCAAGAAAAGCACCATTTATGATTCCATAAAAGTGGCATATTTGGCAGCGAAAACCTGCAAGTCTCTCCATGAGGAAATAGCACTTAGAGCTACAGGGGTCAAGTAAATGATATTCAAAGCTTCTCTCTTGGAAGGGAAGGATATTATTTCTGCACCAAATAAAATATTATTGAGATAGAGCTCATGTTATGTTTCCCATAAGTGACTCCTTTTTCCTCTGTTTTAGAATCCCTGAGTATTTGAACCTTGATCTTTAGTGGGAAATAGTACACCAAGGATCCTATTTCAATTATCCTGCAGCTTACACACTGCTTTCTTAGTTGCTAATGATGGGAAGCAAATGTCACCAAGCAGAAAAGAGGAATAATTCCAATGAGACTATGTGGGCATGCCAAATGCATCTTCTTTCCCACACAGGAATCTGGAGGAGTCCAACATAGGAATCTGTTACTGTGTAATAACAATAAGACAGTTTCCTCCATGGTTTTCCTTGCCTTTAGAAGTCTTTTTCTTTTGGCTTCTCTTTCTAAAAATCATCTCTACCTTCCTTAATAACCCAGGTTTTACAGAAACTCTTGTGATGTTTGATACTAGATATTACTCGCTATCTAATTCATTGAGATGCGTCATCCTGCAATTAATAGATTTCTGATTTAAAAAGGCAAGTAGCTAGCAATCTCCAGCTCTCATTAAAATATGATTGTAAATATATGCAAACAAAAAATATAGAAACAGCAAAAGATCAAAACTCAGAAAAAAGAAACTAAAATTGGAAAATAATCTAATGCCAAAATCGAAGAAAAATTGTAACTATTTATATTGCACATGGAGCCAGATGGGAAGATGTTCCACATTCTGTTCTTCTGTTCCCAGACACATTCTTCTATTCCCAAGATCTGGACAGCCAAGGAAACAAGCAATTCTTCTATGGCATCAAGTCTATGGTGCTTACCTTACTTGAGTCGCGGAATTGTGAGTGACTTTGGTATTTTTTGTCAGTCTTTTTTATCTTCTAATTTTTAAAAATCTTAGCTTAGAAGAGAGTGTCTATCTATCTAAGGGCAGAAGATAATCTCAAATTCAAACTGGTTGTCTTTGGGATGGGGAATTTGGGTGATAATATTGTCTTCCTATTTTATTATATTTCCAAACATTTTTACTACATTCATATATTACCATACAATTAGAGAACAGAATGTAGTTTTTAAAAGGCAGTGCTTAAGAGGACTTTGAGGAACTTGGTTTTATTACTTCTTATTTTAAGGCATATTTGCAACAAAATATCTTCTTTCCTACTTGGTGTTTTTAATTATTAAAGTAAGAAAGATTATCTTTTTAATGAAGAAGGTTAATATATATAAATCAAAATGGCTGTCTGGATTTTTACCCCAAATGGAGGTACGTTTGGGTGGTCTGCCTTAAAATATAGTCTAGGTTGTAGACAGAACTGATAATGGTGGTTCCAAAGGGCCATCAAAGACCTAGATTGTCAAAAAGCTGAAACTGAGGATGACTTTTTAATAATAATAATTTTAATAATGTGGGGAGAATTATTGAGATAATCTTTTTCATTGTAAAGTTTCTTTGCATCCATGAGGGGCTGTGACATACCTTAAGATATAGGAGTTATCCTCATAAACAATTAATGCTTTGGTATGATGAGAGACTCTTGTAACTGGTGATCTGGAAGCACCTGCTTTACACTTTATTCTTTTATTATTATTGTCATTATTGTTATTAGAAGTAATAAGGCATAATTTACATACATTGAAATGTACAGATCTTAAATGTACAGTTCTGTCTGTTTTTACAGATGCATATACCTGTGTAATCTGCATCTATATCAAGATATAGAACATTTCTGTCACCCCAGAAAGTTCCATAAGGCTTCTTCCCAGACCATTTGGTTACTTTCCAGTTTAGGGCTTTTATGACTAAAGATGCTGTCAGTGTTCCTTTGTGTTCTGATGGACATAAACACTCATTTCTGTTGAGCACATGTACAGGAGTGAGATTGCTAGGTCATGGGATATGTGTATGTTGAGATTTAGTGGTACTTTAAAATGTTGTTTCTATGTGATTGGACCAATTTATACTCACCCAGCTAGGTAAGAAATTCACAGTTGCCCCATATACTTCCCAATACTTAGTATTGTTTATCTTTTTGATTTTACTCATCCTGGTGAGTATATAATGGAACTTATTATGGCTTTAATTTGCATTTTTCTGGTGATTAATGATGTGAACACTTTTTCACATGTTTATTGGGTATTTTGATAATCCTCTGTTATGAAGAGCCTGCCTATTACAGTGTGTTTTAAATGTCTATTTTCTGGTCTACAGTTGTGCCCTAACAACTGTCCTGTGAATTCCCTAAAGGTAAGGAATGCTTTGAATAGATCTTTCTATTCCTTATACTTAGCACACTGCACTAGCTCATTGCAGATTCTAAAAATATATTGGTTTGAATGAAATAAGGATAGTTATTAAATAGCTCCTCCTATGTGTGGGACGCTTTGCATGTGTTACTTCAGTTAATCCCCATACCAACTCCGTTTAGAAGTGAGGAACTTGAAGCTTGGAGAGCTTTGAGTATTCACCCTGGCCACAGAGCTAGTAAGTGACTTGCATTGCGATAGTCTGAAACCAGACTATCTTGTTCAAAAACTCTTTTTGTTGTTGTTCCTTCCAAACCACCACAATGGCTTCAGATTAGAAAGAGGTCTTTCACTGTAGTCATTCTGCACCCATTTACTGTCTGTGATGGCAGAGAATGCTGTACTCTCCAACATCCGTGTTTCTCTTCTTTTCTCTACGCACAAAGCTAAACTACAGTTCCTAGGCCCCTTGAGGTTAGGTCGGGTCTGTGACTGAGTTATGACAATGGAATGTGACTTAAGGTTGTGTATGCCATTTCCAGGTCTCACCCATAAAAAATTCCCTGCATGCAATCTTCCACAAACTGTTTTTTTGACACACTAGAAGTCTGCATGTTGAAGATGATGGTATCATAAGATATAAGGACCCTGGGTCCCTGAGTGACTCTGTGGAAGAGACACTCTTTCCCTCTCCCCATCACATCAGCCTATCATGAGTGAACATTAAGCTCTCATCATGATGGACCACAGAGATTTCAGAGTTTGTTATAGCAGCCCAGCCTGCTACAGTCTCTTTTTAGGTATTGGTGATGCAGAGATGAATAGCTATTAGCCTTAGGGAACTTCAGGTTGGTAAACAAAGAATTCTAACGCCCTATGACAAATGTTATAGTAAAGGCACAGACCAAGTTCTGTGGCAAATGGTGGAGACAGATCAATTCTGCCTTGTAAACTTAAGGAATATCTCACTGAGGGGATAATATTTTTTTACCTGGGTCCTTGGAGGATCAGGTGAAAGTGATGGGCATTTCAGGTTGTAGAAACAGCATGAGGAAATGTGTGGAAAGCTAAAATGCATGCTATATTCCTTCCTGAAGATTTGTGAAGTTCCATGCAGCTAGAGTACAATTTGCATAAGAAGAATGGTAAGAGAGAAATCTAATAAAATAGATTGGTGGCCCAAATTGAAGCATCTTGTAAACCATGACAAGGAATTAGAACTTGGTCTTATGATCAATGGGGAGCCATCTGTTATGAATTGAATGGAAAGGAACTAGAAGCAGGAAAATCATTTAAAGGTGTTGCAATTATCCAGATAAAAAATAATGAGGATCAGAAGTAAGACATAAGCAAAGGGAATTAAGAAGAGGTAGATTCTTAAAATTAATACTTCCTTGGAGGCAAAAAGAGTGACATTTAGACTGTTCTTTTTGTCGAATGTCATCTACTGTTAGAAAAGTATTACATAAATCAAATCTAAATGAATATTTGGGGTTTTCAGGTTTCATTCTAGAGTTCATGATTTTTGTTAAAATGTCAGTAGTTGATTTCTTTCTCTAACTTCTTAGAACTTCTAGAAGCCTTGTTCTACATTAATAATATTCTATCAATGAAAAAAAAACAGGTTATGATTCTATAAGTGTTAATTCCTTGCATACCTTTCCCCAGGTTATCGGTTTCTTTGTTTTCTGTTTTAGATGGAAGACAAGCAGTTTAATTTCACAAGTAGTCATTGAGCTCCTGTTATGTTCTCAGCACAGCAGTAGACAGAAATGATAATGAGGGGCGTAAACCTCAGTCTCAGCCTTTAAAGAATTCCTGATCTAGCACAGGTAGGGAGAAAGTAGGTTGAGAGGCATAATATAACAACTCCAAATGACTACAATACAGTCTAAAGCAACTACCAAAATGAGGTATATGAGAGTTCCAAGTGCCAAGAGGGCTTACAGAATTGGGAATGGTAGGTATGGTTCTGTGCAGACCACACACAATGTGGCATAGGTTTTGATGATGAAGGTGATGATGATGATGATGATGATGATGATGATGATGATGATGATAATGGTGGAGGACAAATTCCTTGTAGCATTTATGATTATATTAGTTACTGCTGATATGTCTATGAGCATATGGCCAGGTAGGCTCTTCATCCACATGCATGCCTGGTCTCCTGCATGAATGATTCCCATCACCGATTATGCAGTAATAATAGTGAGAACTGTTAACCAAAGAGTCAGTGCTCACTGTTTTGCTTCCTCAGGGGAATAAAGGCAGCTTTAGACATCTCCCTTGAACTTACAGAATAAAGCAAACACACAGGAGGAAAAGTATAACAAAGATTAAGGAAGCTCATGTGTCAGAATCAGAATAGGCGGTACCCAGAAGCTTAGCAAAAGGAATGAAAGAGTGTTTCTTCTTCTCTGCCCATGAAAATATTCTTACAAACTGAATCACAGGAGGAAGAGGAAAAGGTAGGCCATTGTAGGATGAGGGGAGGTAGGGAAAAAAAAGCAGCAAGGAGGATTTTAATTCAGCTTTTAGAGGATTAAACAAGGCTGATGCCAGGAACATGATGAAGTAAATTTCCCAAAGGGGTAAAATTTTGGCAGAAAATCAGAATCGTGTATTTAGAAAGGAGCATTATTCTTTAACTGTAACTACACAAACTCTAAATTGTTCAGCCTGGAAATGAATTTTGGAAAGAATATAATAGATGTATTCATTCTCCAAACATATATTGAATGAGTATTATAGACCAGACACTGTGCTAGGCATTGGTAGAAAAAATGCTGAGACAATGTAGTCTCCCTCGAGAAGTTCATGCAGGGTGACTCACAGGGAAACAAAAACAGCCAATATACATGGTGATGTGTGTTGTGAAGCTATGTGTGGGCTGCTAAGGAAGATTGGAGAGAGAAGTTCATTTGCCCCGGGCACTCTGAAAAGGTTTCTCAGAGGAGAAACAGTCTTGAGCTGTGATGTACAGGTTGAAATTGGCCAAGAGGAAAAAGTAAGGAGAGGCAGTTAAGAGAAAGGGAAAAAAATGAGAAACAGATCATGCATCAGTAATAATTGTTGCGGATAAGATTCACTGTTGGATGCCAAAGTTAGTGGGTAAAATCTTTAACATAAACAAGATGTATGTAGTCTCAAAGTATCTCTCCCAAGATATGTATTAACTAGAAAGGCAAAGATAGTAATTTTACAGTAGGGAAATCCAGCAGAAACCACCTTGTGATAGATAGAGGTCAATATCACCAGTAATAAGACATAGCAGCATTATGAACTGAGTGATAAGATGCACTGAAGACAACATTGTGGCATTCTTGCCAAAAATGCATAACTTTGTTCCAATCATGAGTAAGCATCAAAGAAACCAAAACTGAAGGACATTCAACAAAACAACTGATTAACGCTCTTCAAAAGTGTCAAGGTCATGAAAGATAAGGAAAGACTGAGCAACTGTGACAGACTGCAGGAGACTAAGGAGAAATAATAACTAAATGCAAGGTGGGATCCTCGATGTGATACAGAACAGGAAAAAAAGTGAAGAAACTGGTAAAATTTGAATAGGATTGTTAGCTTAGTTAATAATATTGTCCCAATGTGAATTTCTTTTACTTGATAAATGGACTGTTGTTACGTAAGATGTTAGGGGGACTGAGGGCTATATGGAAAGTTTCTGTGCTATTTTTTCAACTTATCTGTAAGTCTAAAATTGGTTAAAAATTAAAAAGTTAAAAAAAAAGACATGATGGTTTAAGATAACAGAATGTACACATGGAAGGATGAGGACGTTGATAGAATCTTCACGTTGCACATTTGTGGGAGATGAGGTAGGCCAAGTCTTTCCTAAGGAGTTTGGGTTTAATCCTGTAGTGGATAATCAGCCATTGAGGAGGTTAAACAACAGAGCATCACAACCAGATTTGTGTTTTATGAACATCCTTCTGGTGACAGCATGGAGGGGAAGATAGGGATGCTGGAGTTGGGGATACTGTGAAAGTAGCTAGAGGCCCAGGAAGTATGGTAAAGGCTTGTACGAGGACAGAAGGATAGAGTTCTTTTAAGACATTCACTGTCATTCCTTTGTTAAAATTATATATGGATGTTTCCTAGGCCTATTTTCTATACCCATCACTCATATACCTATGTGTGTAGCCTACACTGTTGTCCATTTTATCCTGATGAGGGATTTATTCATCCTCTATCTCAGACGTGTACCTCCTTCCTGATTTCCAGCTTGAAGTTTGGTGTTGTTACCTGGAGATCAGCTGCTTCTTATACAGAACAGGTTGGATTTCTTTCAGTGGATCATCCAACCTGCCAATGGCTTTTCCATCCCCAGAACACTCTCCATGTAGGCAGCCAGAAAGAGAGACAAGGAATGCCCGTCTTTTTCTGTGCTAAAGTTGCCAGTCCATCTAGCTGATCAAGACCACTGGGACTCAGGATCAAACACTTTCTTAGCCAAGAATAGCATTACTCTTGTTAAAAAAAGAAAGGAAGGAAGGAAGGGGAGTGAGACTGTCAAAGAGAAAGTTTCTTGAACTTCAAAACAATACAATCCACCTTCCAAACCATTTCTCTTCTTGGGATCTTGTCACTACTATGTGGTGTTAATGGCTCCCCCCCAAGTTCAGCTCCCTGTGCTTCCACTTCAGGCTGCTTAGTTCTGTGCTGTAATTTACTCTACAGTTTCTATTTTAAAAGACAGAAATGGGAATGGCTTCAGGTGAGATAAGAAGGCTGGCAAATGTATTTTTCAAAACCTCTACTCCATCCAGTACACTCTACTAGTTTCTTGAATGCTTCCTTGCAAATGGAGTCCAGGTGACCATCAGGTGGCATCATAATAAAGCAGGTTTTATTTGATAAGTAGAGGAAATAAGAAGTTGCCTTCCCCATTGATCTTCTATCTGCATTGTTCTACTAGAGACTTATGCCTTTTTAATTAAGCATAGCTCCCAGTTCTTCCTAAATCTTTTTCTAAGGAAGCAAAGATTCCTTATTGGAAGGCTACATTAGGCCACCACTGTGTCAGTGTGTTCAATGTTATTAGATCTCTCTCCTCCTTGAGTAAAACAGGTGGAAAGTCCGAATGTGCTGGACACCTTAAGTGGAACAGTGGCGTAGGGTCCAGGGTAAAAAAAGGTATAGCAGAGATTCTGGCTTTACAAGGATGCCTGACCTCCAGGTACTAGCAGAATACCTGATTTATTCCCACTTCTGCCCCATTGCTTTGCGATTTGCATGGGATTGCCTAAGACATTAGTTTAAATATCAATTTACCCATTGCTTGAACACTGGAGTCGGTAAGGAGTAATCTTGGTCTTAAGTGAAAGGGAGGAGAAAATGATTCCTGAAAAAGGTCTTGAAAGGAGGAGGGAAGAGACTCCACACCCACAAGAACTGGAATTAATTATTTTTTTTAAGTTGAGACACACTAAAAATCATCTCAAGTTCAGATGGGGAACAAAAAATAGAGGAACAAGAGTTTGCAACCGGAAAGTCAGTGCAGAGCCTGCTGGAAGGGGAAGATGAATTGGAGAGAGAGTATAGACACATGATCATCTATTTGCCTGAATCCTTGGGTCTAGCTACCTGGGAGGTAGCTTTGCTCCCATCAACTGATGTAAAAGAACATGATAAATGTGTCAAGTCTAATAAATTTGGTATTAAAGTTATTGAAATCCTTAGCCTGTTTTGTGGCCCTGTTACATGGATGGGGAAGCCACTGTGGATGGGAAGTCCAACAGCAAACCATCCCAGGGAGAAATAGTGGGTGGGTATCTGTTTTAGGGGAGTTGTTTCCAAATGTTATAGGAGACTCCCAAACCCTTCTCAGGTTCTCAATTAATTGTTTTTTTGTTAGACAGTACGGAAAATTCAGAAAATTCAAGAGAAACTTTAGACAGAAAGATTTTCAGCAAAGCCCTTTTATTTTCTACTCAATGACATTAATAATCAAATATTATCCACATTGATTTCTCAGCTTGTCGTGAGTGAGTTCTTTTGCCTTTAACTTTTCAAATGTCAGATTGAAGATCTCTTCTACTTTAGAAGGAGGAAACAAAGAGATTCTTCCGTAGTCAAGTTTGTGGACTGTGCTTCTCCCCTCTTGAGGGGACCTATCCTCTGTTATATCAAGACCGTTAACAAACACAACAACCTGTGACATCATTCCCTTTCTTATTTGAATATAAGAGTTAGGCTGTCTCTTTTCTGCTACCCAAGCTTTACAGAGTAAGAAGCAGGCAAAGTTCTCCAGACATTTAAGATACAAAGCCCAAAGAAGACGCTCTGTTTACCTTTCCATTCCCTTCTTGTACTTCATGCGCTGGAGTGTGCCATGCTGTTCTAGTGACGGTATTTTCAGTTCCTTATACTCATAGATGAAGGAAGCACTGTCACATGGAAAGTGGCCCAGCAGAATTGTTCATGGGACATGGGGTACAGTTCCAGAGATGAAACTTCACCTATTTCACAGTTTTGCCCTGAGTCAGCCTGGAGTTCATAGGAAGAATCCTAATAGCACTATGAGAGTGGGCTCTCTCCATCACAGTCCCACGACTCGACTGTAGTGTAATAGAGCCATGAGCACTCGATGATGCACTGACTCTCCTCCTGTGGCGTGAATGGCTGCCGTTGGGATGCAGAGGTTGTTTATGGGGATTGGCAGGATTTTGTAACAATTACAAAGAATTAATTTTCATTCATCCTCCATTAAGTATGATGTGCTGTATATTAAACATATTACTTACCAGGGATAATTTATCCATGACCTTTTGGAATATGAGGAATTATCTTGTCATGTATTATCATAATAAATCCTCTCTCTCCTTTATCTAATAGCAAACATTTTTAATAGGATTTTAAATAGATCTCTGAGGATCTATTTAAAATGTTCAACCTAATACAGAATGCTGTAAACATATATCTTTTGCAGATAAAGTGAGCTGCTTTTCTTTTTTCTTGGAGATCCTGGGCTTCAGACAGAGAGACTGCTGGGGGATGTGCAAGGTGGAAAGCCGTGTTTGTGATTCAACCCCCTCACTCTGAAGTAGAGAGCTAAAGCTAAGAGGTTAGTTGGTTGTCCTAAGTTCTTGTTCATGGGTAAATCAGAGGCAAAGCGGAGACTCACACTGAGTTTTCTTCTTTCTCTCTCCAGCACATTGACTGACGACGGGATTTAGAAGCATCTGCTATCTACCAAGCCAAGATGGGGAAACGCCCACAGGGATGAGAGGAAGGAATTCATAGCATGTACAGTGAATCGTGTTGTTGTCTAATACTATGCTGCTAGGAGATGGAGTATTTGGTTCTGTGGAGCATGCAGCAGTCCCACTGGAATTCTAACATAGGCCAGGTTACATGAATGTGAGTCATGGGACATTATTCTTTAAACAATATTTATTAAATACCTACAGCATGCCAGATATTGTAGTAGTTGTTGTCTAGGGATCTTGGGGGCTCGGGTAGGGATTTCCCTTCCCAGGCTTCAGATTTCTATGAGAAGAGACATCACTTTGTGTCTCTCTACCCCCACGCACTCATATCTTCCCAGGCTTGGGAATGGAGGGGGGCAGTGACCTCCCTCTTTGAAGAGTGTCAGTGAGGAACTCGGCATAACTCACATCCTTTTTTTCCTTCTCTTTGCAATTTGTCTGGTCAGCTCTTGATCAGCTTAATGGTAAAGGGTTTGTTCTAATGGGGGCCAGTCTGTGTTCTCCCCTTGATGCTTGTGACCAGAAACACCAATCTGTCTAATATGAAGGCTCAGTATTATGCTGCCCAACTTGACCCACACCCATGTGAAGTTTTCTATCAGGTTCATTAGTAATAAAGTCAGAAGAAGTCAGGCAAAGGGTGCTAGGTCTGCAAACAGCACGTGGGCCACCACAGTGTAGGGCTGGGGTCATGGGTATACGACCAGTGCAGTTACACAGGACTGTGCTTCTTGAAGGGCCTCGTCCATACCAGGTTTATGCTTTGCTGTCATCGTCTTGAAATTCTTAATAATTTTTGAAGACGGGCCCACATTTCCATATTGCACTTGGCCCCAAAATTATATAGCTAGTCGTGCCAAGGTCTTTAGCCCAATAGTCGGGACCTAGGGTGTGGACTGCATGGCTTAATCTTAAGCTACTTAAGTTCAGCTTGGCTTGGTATTGCAAGATCATTTTTAGGCATTTGTGCGTAGAATATTTGCGACTTCTAAACCTTAACATGGCTGAGATCTGCAGACAGAGCACTGGTAAGATTCTCATAGTAAAATGTTAGGGTGCACTGGATTTGCCACCCCAAATTCCATTCCATATTCAGGAATATGAGGGGAACTCTGTAATTCTGAGGCTTATTGAGAGCTTCTCTACAGGAGAATCTCTTTTTGTTTCCTCCTCCTAAAACAGAACAGATCTTGAATTTATACTCTGACCTTTTTATTTTTAGAAGAAAGATGGACTTTAATGAAGATTATTCCCTTTGATGTAAGAGAGACCCATGAAAGCATCCAAACAAAAGAAAGGAAGAAGCAAGGATTAAGACAGTCAACTCTCCCTTAGCCACAAGCCTGAAGAAAGAGCAGGGCCTGTTTCTCTGTCGTTGTGACCACGCCAGGCCTCGTGCAGGGCCCGACCTGTGGAAGTGACTCAGGAACTGCCAGTTTTAAGTGTCCCTTTTGTGAAACTGTAACACTCATTTCGTCTAACTTCTGCTTTACAGCCTGGCACTAAGATGCCAAAGTTTTTCTAGTTTTAGCTCATAATCGACTTCTCTATGACTCAGGTCTCTCTCGTAGAAAAGATAATGCTGCCAGTGGCAGTTGCCTCACAGGCTCTGTATCACCACTCCTACCCCCCTACAAACACTCAAATTGGCTCCAGACTGGTTCTGGATTAGTTAATTCCTAAGCTCTTTCTGTGTTTTCCTGTATTTGAAGAGCACATGTCAGAGAGTTTGGTCCTCACATACACGTTTCCAAAGCAGTAACAGCAGCTCAGTTCTAGGACGTTGGTCCTGCTGAAACCCAGGGAGGGAAAGGGAGAACTTTCTCTAGGGGGCAGTTTTCATAGGCCCCTTAAATTCCATAGCAAGGGCTCTGTTAACAGACACTGAGGCATAGGAGTAAGAATGTCTGCTAGCATGAGGGTATGGGAATATGCTTCTAGAAAGAGTCATACTCAGTAGAGGACCAGGGTGCCAGGGACACAGGAATCAAAGGAGAAATGGAAATCAGGAACGTTTAAATACATTGAATGGGAAACAATGATACCTCGGAAAAGACTTGATGATTGGACTGCTACCGTTGCAAATTTCTAAACTCTAGAACACATGCTATGTCAAATGGCGCTTTCTGGGATGGGAGATAGAACTCATAGGTGGAGTTCCCTCTCAGATATGATAGAAGTACTGTGCCCAAATTAACTGTTGTTTAAAAAGACCTCTCAACAGAGTTTAAATTTGCAGGTGATGGTTTTCTTGAGCAGGCATGGCCTGATTGACCTCCTTTGGAGGCGGAATCAAAATTTCGCCCATATACCCCCTTCTCTCAGATATCATTGACTCTTTGCTGTATTCTTCGGCAGCCCTAAGTTCTGGGTTTCTTTGCCTGAGATGAGGGCTTGAGGACTGGGAATTACCTTCGCTTCTACATTGTTAGGTTTACAGCATACTGGAGTAATCTCTTATGTTCTAATAAATGTTTGAACTCTTTAAAAAGTGAGGTACATGACGGACTTGATGTGGAACTAATTCAGCTTCTGTGGTCCAAAGGAGCCACCTATATTCCAGTGATGGACAACACAGGCTGTGGTTGCTAAAGGAACCAAATTCTATTCAGGCATTGAGAAAACATCTTCAACTAAGGGAAAGCAGAATACAAAAAGGACTTCACTTTCTTTGGGCTTTTCGTACCCGAGGACAAGAATATTTGATTTTGGAGTTGAATTACTTTGAATTTTGATGTATTTGAACTTGACTTTCCAGACAATCTAATCTATGGACTTTATCCCAAAAAATTTTATCCTGGAAGGGAGTTTATATTCCGATATTGGGAATTTTATTATTGGATTAATTTGAAATTTCCTGGTGAGTTATATTAGGCAGTGTGCTTGAACAGAAATCAGGATGGGGAAAACATAGGCAGGCAAATATCGGTTGGCTACAGTGGTCTTAAAATTAATTTAATTAATGACCTGTTTCAGTGGGGAAACATCTACACTGTCATCAGCAACCTCAGTAGAGTCCTCAATGCAGGAGGGATTGGTATGGGGGAGAACTTTATAAAAATAGAATTAGACGACCCTAATGGGCTGCCCAAATTCTCCCTCAAGGAGATAACCATACCATTTTGACCATATATTTAAAGTTAAACCAAATGAGTTAAGAGAACCAAGGTCTTGGGAGTATTGATTGGAAAGCATCCGTTATCCTGGTTCATGTTCCCAAGGGAAGCAACATCCATCAGCATAACCTCTTGGCTCCTCTCCTCTCATCTTACTCACTCCCTTTCAAGGCAGGTGGAATGAATGATCAAGTTGGGGAGACAGGGAGAAGAACCAGGGATGCTCAGTCCTTTCTTTGCTCTCCTTTTGGGCTCTTTCTGCCTTCAGAGAGCCTACGTTCTTCTCTGCTCTTGGCCATGAGCTAAGCTTAGTGCTTGAAGCTTCTCTTGGGGAGGACTACAGTTTTGTCATGCTATTCAAGATTGAGGTGCAGTATTATGAAATCTGTTGTTGCTTTTCACTTAAACCACAATCTCTGTCACTTCTATAATTGAAAAAGTTGACGTTTTGAACTCTCTCTGCCTTGTCATAGATGCTGGAAAGACTTCTATTTATATGCTAGATAGTCTTTGTCAAACTACTTAACCTATTTCTCAATTTCCTCTTGTGTAAAATGGGGGAAAACCTGTATCTACTTTTACAAGATTGTTATATGTTAAAAGAGTTAATGGAAAGTGCTTAGGAAAGTACTATGTGAGTGTTTGCTATTACTTCTTTATCTTGCCTATCAATTTGTACAGAATTTGGGGAATGGGGATGAGAGATGCTTTTTATTGGGTCTCCCATGAAGTCCAATAATCAGTACTACGTACACACACACAATAATGTCATAGTCCTGGCTTCAGTTTAGTAGTAGGAACAGACAAGTGAATTGATAATTGTAGTACTGCGTGTGACGTGTTATTATAAAGACATGCTATGTGCTATGAGAAGTCAGAGATGGGAGCAACTGACAATTCATATGTTACTACAGCTGTACTCGAGACTAGGCCAAGACAGATTGTGAATTGGAGCCTAATATTTTTCAGCCCCAGAGTTATACTTTCATTGTAGTGCCCTCCTTCCCCATTTTTCTGCCACACAGTGATCTATGCTCTCTCACCACTCCCTGGCTGCCCTCCTGGAGTTGCTCCCTCCAATATTCAGTTCCAGATTCAATAGCAGGTTGGCACAACGGCTGCCTGAGGCACCCATCCATATGAGCTGCCAAACCATCAGCTGAGGATTGAAAACATCCCTGGATATATAACAAGGTAGAGAAAATTGAGTTTATCAGAAAAGAAAGGACATGTGTACCAGACGAGGATTATAGTCCAAGCAGCAGAAGCTAGCTGGGGATGATTAAGCAGAAAAGGAATTTATTAAAAAGATATTTAGCAGATCACAGAATCATCAAAAGCAAGCTGGAAACTAAGTATTTAGGGCAATGTTCCAAAACCACGTTGTACTGCCGGTCTGGTGAGAAAACTGCAGCTGAGGCCACTGCACAATAGATAAAACGATTTGCACCACTGCCGTTTGTGCATCAGAACGTCACTGCTTCTGCAACCACTGTTGCTGCCTGTACTGATGCCTCTTCCTCACCAGCAAAGCAACTTGCATCTTCTATAGCCACTCCAGACAATGCTGGATATTTCTCCTTTGGTCTTGCAGCACAACAACAGCAGAAAAACAGATTCTGTGCAATTCTTGCTTTTGTTACTGCTTACTTTCTATAACAGTTTTGAAAAGGTGGCATCCGGTTGGTGGAGTCCAGGTAACAGGTTTGAATTCTAGCTTCAAAGAAGCTGACAAAGCCATGTCTCTGGCTTCTCCCTTGGGGTGGTGTTGGAAAGGTCTTAGGAAGCCAGAACACATGACAGATGTCTAGTATACCACTAAGAACCTTGGAGGAAGAGTGAGACCCTTTAAAGACTTGATTGAATAATGATTGATGCTAGTAAATACTTTATAAAGTCTTTTTCTTTCTTTTTCAAATTAATGGAAAGGTTTTCTTTTTCTTTTTTTTTCCTTTTTCCTGGAAGTTTGGAGCCAGAACTCAGAAAAATACATGCAAGGCCAAGCACATCCACTATGGGTTCCCTTTATCCAACATTCCCCACACACTGATCTGCCTCTCCTTTAAGTGTTGAATACATATTGAAAGCAAATTATTTTGAAGGTGCATTGAGTTACTAGCCTACCTGGGGTACTCACATGTCTTCATATTTAATGGTGTGTCATGGTAAAGTTCTCTCCCTGCCTTCTCCAAAGTACGGTATCAAAGATTTTCTTGTTGAAATAAGACAGTGTCAGATATTGTCTGATCTTCAAAGCCTTCTGAAATCGGGACTAAATTAGCTCTTCATCTTCTAGTACATTCTTCCCCTTACCAGATGCCATGATCACACTGGGCACTATAGGCCTTGCTCAAATATATCATTCTATTCGTGCTTCCAAGTATTTATGAATTCAGGCCTTGATGACAAAATGCCTTCAAGTCTTGGCTCTGAAATCTCATAGATAAGATAGTTTGGTCAAGTTTTCTTCCATAAAAAAGGAAATACCAATACTATCAAGTAAATACTCAGAAAATGTTAGCCATTATTATTATTATTATTATTGTTTTTTCTTCTTTCACAGTTGAAGTTCTACCCAAACTACCAGTTAAAAGGAAATGCAAATGCTTCCAGAGAACCCCACTCCCACCACCACTGTCCCCTCAAACACAATTTTTCTTTGTTCTCCTTTTATAACACTCATCACATTTTCACAGACTGGTTGTATTAGAGTCACATATTAGCTATTCCAACTGCCATCACTTCCTTTGTGACCTTTCTAGAAGTCAGAGTTGGCTTCATCTTGCATTCCCCCACACATGGGTAAGTTGCTTATAGAGAGCAGAATTTCAGCAAGTATTTGCTCAATTGAGTTAAATATCAATTTTTATTTTGTTTCATACCCCTGTCCTTTGTTAATTAGGCATAGAGGATAAAGGATTTTAATAGAATACTGAGTTATCCCTTCATGTAACTTATTTATTTTTATAAGGGGCTTCTGGAACCACATTGCAAACTTCTTAGATGTACGGGTTCCCTAAAAACAATACACATAACTACCCAGGAGAAAGGCAGTCAAGTAAAGCCTCATGGTTTGGAAGACAGGTGGAATAACCCCCTGTGTTTCACAGGGAAAAAGGAAACTTTCCTGATCCTTCAGAGAAGAATGACAGTGAGCTAAGAGAGCTGACTTCAGGAACCAGGTAGGGTATGTTTGGGTTGAATTCAGCACCAAAACGTCAGTCGCTTTCAATCTCTTCGTCCCTCAAAAGATCATTGATGGAAGCTGGTCTAGTGAAAACCTGCAGTGCTGGACATTATCAGCCAAATTCTTCAGTGACACATTTTGGTAGTAGAAAACTGTTGGTACAGAAAATGCAACAGACTGATCAGAAAGCCAGCCTCTCCCTCTGTGGATGTGGAAGTCAAGGGAAGAGGGCGGCCAACTCTTTTCTAAACTTCCTCTGGGAGTTTGATCTACTTTTATTTTAATTAGGTAAATAAAGTATATTATCAAACATATGCTGAGTTACAATATTTAAAACTATAATTATGTTTTTATTGTTAAGGCAGTTAAGCATATGTGCCAGTATGCATGGAAAGGACATAGGGAAGACTGTGAAGCTGCGATGGAAAATATATAATGGTATAAATATAAGCATAGGTGATTTAACACGTTCAGAGATAACAGCCTTTCTTCAGAGTAAGTTCTAGTTTCTGCTTATTCTTCTGCTGTCTCACAGGGTACTTTTGAGGGAAGGATCACAGAACATTTGTAGAAGAAACTTGGAAATTGTCCAGTCATTTCACTTGACAAAGTACCCTGAAGACCAGTGAGGAAGTGAGACCTCACAAAGGTCACACCAAGTAAACAGCAGAAGTGGGACTGGAAGCAGATGTCTTTTGGTACCTCCTGTCCCTGATCAAAAACTGTATAAGGAAGAACTCAAATAAAGCATCCATTGTTTCCCACCTGGCATCGGGCAGACTTTCTGTCAAGCTCTCATTTTCAAAATGATTACTTTGCAAATTTTAACAGCCATGTTGGAAAACAACACAATGCAATGTTAATTACTATATAAAAAGGAGGAGGGGTGTAATTTGAAAATAATTTTACTATATCCATAAGCAAACCCAGCTATAGGGCTAATCCTTTCTTTGTTACCTTTCCTCCCATCCCAGTCTAAAAACACATGCTGATAACCTGTTCCAACCAGTGTATTTTTCAGGTTACCAACACTTTTCTTTGCCTCTCTTTAACATTGGGCATCTGGGGTCCTGCTTTGGCTTTGTTCCTAATTACTCTACTGTTATCTCACTCTTCCTCTGTTCTTGTCCATTTAGTCTATGTGGACTTGTTTGCTCTGCCTTAGTGATTATGAGTTGGGCAGTGGGATAGCTGAAAGAAGCCCACTCAGACCCAATAGATAACGTTGTCCAATATTAATTGTCCCATTTGACCAAATTATCACTTGCCACCCCCTGAAGCATTCCCTTTGAATCCTAATCCATTACTTAATAAAGTTCCTCAATTAGCAATCAGGAATCCATGTGGCTGAGCCAGGCAAATCCTATGAGTTAATCCTATTAACCCAATTTGGGGCGCACAGCTTAGACCCAGGGTGCGTCTTGAAAAGTTATATCTAGTTTTAAGATTGTATTTGGCAGCTTCATTTGGGGGAAATTTACTAAATAACCTGGTATATAGTTTTCTCTGGCTACCTCTGTGTGTGAGAAGGTTTGGCATACCATAACAAAGTGAGACTGGTTGATAACCTAGCTATATTCAACTAAATAGAAAACATACCCTAGACGATCTGTTCATCAGAAAAATGTCCATGACTCTGACTTGTTCCTATGGATCTGAAAAGTCCTAATTAATTCATCCTCCTTAATGGTCTCTATTTCCAACCATTTATTAATTACTGTGGAACAGTGAGAGCAGGGCCTCAGAAGAACCCCAGTTAGTTTAATGGTCTGCTGTTGCTGTCTTGAAAGTTAATAATTTAATCTTTGAATGTGTGTTTTGTAAATGAAGTCTGATGGGACAATGGAGCATATACTTGAACAAAGGACGTACATAGAAGAAGGTAATTACTTTGTATTTTAGTACTTTTAATGGCACTGTTTTTCTGCTTTTTGAGCAAGGGATCTCACATTTTCATTGCTGTTCTGAGTGAGAACACCTATTGCAGAGTCCCCACTTCTCCTTGGCCATTTCTATTTGCATATGGCCCTATTACCTCTGTCCTGGTTTACATCCTACTCACACATCACCTCAATGGCTAAGGTTTGCATTCTCTCACTTTTACTAACAGTTGTTTATACTGTCTATCTAGCACTTACTCTGTGCCAGACATTGCATCAAGCACTTAACACACATTATTCATGTAATCCCCATGGTGGCTCCCTAGGATCACTGTTCTCGTTATTCCCGTTTTACAGATAAGGAAATTGAAATTTAGGTTAAGAACTGGTCCAAAGTCACACAGTAAGTGTTGGAGTCAGAATATGAACACTGGCAGACCAAAGCCAGAGCCAATGCCTGGACTCATGAGTGTAAGTGAGATAGACATGTCTAAAAAATGCTCAACGAAGAGCATGATCTGAATATTCCATTCTATTAGTCCATTCCATCATTTAAGCAGTGG